TCTTATCTTCCAGTAGAAGTGGTCCTCTTGACTCCTAAAATATCCTCTCCATGCCCTGGCACAGTCTTCCCATCCCTAGTGGTAGTGGTTTCTTCACCCCCTGAAGCAGTGGTGTACCTACTGCTCTTGTGGCTCTTCTACTTCTGTTTGAGATCAACACTGTGTTGCCTGAGGAAATGGTAATGGCTTTCTCCAAGGGAGTTGCCAAACAATGAATGCTGATTCTCCTCAGGACTTACCCCCACAACCCCTCTGCTATTTCTAGCCTGGTGAGCCTGAACATGCCTGGTATACACGTGAGTACCCAGGATCCAATAGGCTGAAGGACTATAGGAAGGGGATAATGGCATGACCAGGCTCTGTGGAAGTTGCTTTTCTTTCTTTCGCACTTGCATGCACATATGCTCTATCATGAATAAAGAAACATATCAAGATTCACCTATATACTCTTTAGAAACCAATAGAGATAGATTAAAATATGCATAAACCTCAATTCACATTAAAGCAACAGAAAACATGAAAATTTCCTTTTCTTAGTAGTTGGGATCTCTAGAGGCTGGCAGTTGGCATGGTGGTTGTGGGCACTAGATTCCCACATGGCCAACTGTGGTTCAAGTCCAGGATCTGGCAGCTTGCCTTTTCACTTTCTTTCTCTCTCTCTCTCTCTCTCTCTCTCTCGATCTCTTGCTCTGTCCCTCTCTGGTCAAATTAAAATAAATAAAATAAAATAATGAAAAAGGGACATCATGATCCTTACATTACCACACTATTCTCAAATGTCCCAAAAAATAAGACTTCAATTTATCCAAAATATTAATTTTGCTACTAAGATTGCATTCTTTCTTCCTTTAGCATTAACAAGTGGCACAAGATTATTGTGAAAAACATTGAGATTTTCCCAATGTTCTGTTATTTATTAGAAATCCAATCTACCTTAATTTATAGATGTATTCACAAATATAAGTCAAAGTTTATCAAACATGTCTATTCGGAAATATTTTATTTAGCATAAGAAAAATTCATATATTGCAGGGGAATTGAGAAGAGACATGAAATAAACATATGAGATTAGAGAAGGGAGTAATTTGAAAGATATGGCCTGAGACATGACCCAGATCACAGATGAATGAATCTCAAATATTAATTGCTCCTTAGATCTTCTTGCTGAGAAAAAGATCTTAATTATTCCACCTTTATGGCCACCTCTCCACACTACATACTCACACCCACACACCTTCTTTACAAGCTAGTATTACAATGATCTCTGAGGATTGCTTAGAAGACCACTTAAGATTTCTGAAACTCTTGTGAAATAGCCACAAAAAGGCAAGAGTTTTCCCATTTTCAGTTGTTTACCCAGGGTTTTATGTTAGAACTTTGAACCGTGCACATCTTTATGAACTTTCTTAGTTCCAAAGCAGGAAATGTTTTGAACCAAGAAAGTTCCATTCAATTATGAATGTAGTTTATTTTAAGGATAAACTTATAATTTAAAATTTCTCAAAGTTTTGCTCCTCAGGGCTCTATATGATGTTCTATTAAAATATGTTGGCTTAAAATTGCAATTAGACTAGCAGAAATAGCAATTACTTATAAGTAAAATTCCCTAATCCTGAAATACAAGCATGACACTAATGTACTTGATTTTCGTGAGGAAAGTGAACAACACTTTTTTTTTTCCTGATATTGGAAGAAATTCTAATGTCTCTCAAAGTAGAATCAATTAGGTTATTTCAATTCAGGAAGCATGTGCCTTGTTGCCTTGTTATACAATGATCCTTATAGAACCCATAAGGTATGACTATTGTTGGGAGTATTAAATATCCTATAAAGTGGTTGATAAACAAAAGTGATAATCAGGTGGTCTAGTAAGAGCCAGAGTCAGTCAGTCTCTCTCTCTCTCTTTCTCTCTTTCTCTCTCTCTCTCTCTATATATATATATATATATACACATACATATTACAAAACAAACAAACAAACAAACAAAAACCTTATTGGCATTCCCAGAGAAAAGCATAGTTTGTGAAGGTTTCCACCCTCTCTTTCCATTCAGGTGTATTTGTGGAAAGTAAAAATGACTGCTCTTGGATAGACAGGTACATAGAAATCTGCTGGGAGAGCTATTGCTTTAGCAAGGCATTTGGAGTTTCTTTTTTCTAATATATGGGAATTGTGCTTACTATTATATATAGCATGAATCACTGACGATAATGCTACCTGTTTATTCACACAAAGTGAAAAAGCATACAGTTATACCTTTTTCTTAATATATATTACAGAAAATTCCTTTTATGCAAAATAAAAATTCATACACAGGGCAAAAAGGCAAACGCATTTAGTTGAAATGCTGAAATTACATGTAATCTTCTTAGATATGTTATTTTATTTAGTTTTGAGCTTGGCATTTACATTTGTTGCTTTTAAACCCCAGTTTCCTACCACAGTTTTGTCAGCTGAAATGTGCAATTAACAATAATCAATAGTTATATTTACTACCACGTAGTTTATATGTTTTTTGCCATGACATCTCTAAATCTTTCATTAAAAGACCATTATTAAACTACCAGACTAAAAATTGGAGTCAGCTGTAAATGTCATTCCTAGCTGTAAAATGTAGCTTAAACTTCAGGTAACTAGAATTTATTGAAAACAGAATATTAATTGAGAAAGAAGGGGAAAACTTTTTTAAAACAATTTTGCAATCCTAATTAATCTTATTATAGTTAAGGAGAAAATGATTGGTATGGTGCTTAGGTGCTCTAAGGGAGTTTTTATGTGGCTTTTAAGAATAAATACAGTTATCACTTTAATGCTGAAGTAGTAAAAAGGCCTTGCTTTGTTTTTAAGCTCTCTCTCCCTCTCTCTTTTTAACCTTATGCACCCTGAAGTTTATGCATAAGGGGTGTCATAGCTAAAAGATAGAAGAAGCTACCCTGATTGGCACTGAACTTTATCTGAACAACAAATAAACTTTGGTTTGGTTAAGACACTGAGAAAGAAAAGGGAATAATACATTAAAAAAATAATATGGCACGGTCAGCAGGTGGCATGGTGGTTAAGGAACTGGACTCCCACATGGCTGACCTCAGTTCAAGTCCCAGACCTGGTGGTTTGCTTTCTTACTTTCTCACTTTCCCTCTCCCTTTCTCTTTCTCTGTTTCTCTCTGGTTAGCACATGTACCCTCTAGGAAATTTAGAAAAAATAATAAATAAAATTTAAGAAATGATTTTTAAAAATAATATGGCATAAGCTAAGACATTTTATCATCATAATTTCCAACTTTTTCTGAGAGATCAGAAATCTAAACATAGAATGTAATTAAATCTCTATTTTTCCATATTAAATATTACTAGGAAATATGGCACATTTTTCCTTTAATGATTCAGAATATTTCAGTTTCCAAGGATTAGAAATTTATATATAAATTTTCATCACATAGAACTATAGATATAAAATCAAAATGCATAGGGAATAATGGATGTATTTTGCCCTCATTTATTCACTATTTTAGTGGATACTTTATTAAATCCCTGACATCGACTTATCTTTAGCCATTGGATTAGTTTCTATCTTCAAAGTAATCTGTTAAAAATCCACTTAATCAAAGTTTTTTTATTTACTACCATAGCTGATGAAAAAATGCAAACCCATATTATTATATATTGAAATTCCAGGTGACTATATGAACTTTTATAAGGTGAAATATAAACTTTATTTATGGAATAGCATAAGCCAAATAAGTTACAGCTGTATATTGTCTAATCATGTATTAAACAGTGAGGGAAAAAAATCTAAATTTGCTTGACCTTGACATTATACCACAAGCCATGAGAGGTATCTACTAAGATAAAATTAAATCTTGTTCTAAACAAATGACCTCCAAATGACCAGACTAATTCCAACATGCATAGTGGAGAAGAAAATGACATCAGAGGAGGATGATAAAGCAAGAATGATGAATTCAGGGGCTATAAATTGCCACTATCACCTATCCTGTGCCCCAGCGCAACAAGGTAGATCAAACTCTATCAAAACAGAAAAAAAGAAGGAGCAGAAAACCAAGAAGGAGAGAAGAAGTACCTTCGCTTCTGTGTTTAGATCTTGGAATTATTTTCCATCCTAGGTTATACTACCATTTTTTCATCTTAGTTCAAAATACAAAAAAGAAAAGTCTAAAAAATATTGCATTATTCTAACACTTCAAATTGTATTTGAGATGCTAGTAAAGTCATTATATCAAGTCAGAAAAGCCAACTAGACATAACAAAGCTCCATAATGGCCCAGGAAAATTATATCAGGTATTGAAAATAAACTTTAGGAGCCTTCTTGAACTGCAGAATATGATTCTCACCAAGAATCCATTTAAACAAAACTACTGTAAACTATGTTTTCATTGTTTATGCATATGGAACTTTATGGCAATAATTTTTGTTTCTAGGAAAAACAATTGTCTGAAAATTGTATGATCATTAACTATGACAAATTTAGCCATCTCATTTTTATTTTCACAGATCATGTTAGGAAGAAAGTAACAAAATGCCAGCTTAACATTTCAAAACGTATTTGAAAGTAATGAAGGGAAACTGATTCAGTTAGCAACGCTAAATAAAACAGACAATTCATACAGATGCTTTCCTTGTAAAATATTAAATAAACACTTGAATATGGCAACTTTTTCGATTTAATAAAACAATCTCTAACTTGTTTCTATGTCTAGGCAAATACTTCTTCCTGACCAAAGCTCTGGTTTTATAACCAATTCTTTTTTTTTTTCTGATCAGAAACGTGTGCTTTTTAGAAAACTGGGATATTTAATGATATTAAATATGACTTTTTCTTCTTCCTCTGCCTCTTTCCTTCCTACCCCAAAGCTGCAAGAAATGAGACTGGATAGAACAATTGTTTTTATCTCATCCCCAGTTTATCAATTACAAGTATGAATGCTGAGAAGTGTTCAAATGGATTCACAAGACTATTAAGAAGAAATGCTTGACTTACTTGCCATTGTTTCATCAGCTCTCTTACGCCCTTTGAGTCTTCTAGAAGCCTCTCCTTATGGGTAGCATCCTGTAAGACGTTGGCAGTTGTTTCAGCTTCTGTGAGCCAGGCAAGAAACTTCTCCAGGTCCAAGGGGAACTGTTGCAGTAATCTATGAGTTTCTTCCAAAGCAGCCTCTCGCTCACTCACTCTGCCAAGGAACAAATATCCAGATGCATTTCTTAAATATCAGAATGGTACATACAGGAAACTCCACAGAAGAGCAAAGATGGAGGGACTAAATGGAGAGCAACAGAGGAGTGAGTTGTGAAAGCTCTTTCAGAACAAATAGAATACAGTGTTCTCTGTTTACCTTTAGTTCTATTCAATTTAAAGGTGTCTGCATGGGGGAGATGCAAGAATATCTGTTATGAGATGAATGACAACTGTAGATTACTATAAATCCTCTCCACAGAAGAAACTGATGTATGTACAGATAAAATGGAATTATGTATAATTATTTATCAATAAAAATACTATAATAATATAATTTTTTTGGAGAGATTTTTGCTATAGGGCACATGCGCTCGCCAGAAAGACAGAGAGAGCTAGAAAGAGAGAAATCACCCCCTGGGGGGATGGCCATGCCGCAATCCCTCCTCCTCCATTCTCCTCTCGGGATCTTGGGCACACATGCATGCATGCCCGGCATGAGTTTAAGCCACCGGGTCTGGGACTTGAACAGCAGTTGACTACATGGGAGTCTAGCGACATAGCCATTACGCTAACTGCTGGTCCTAATAATATAATTTTATCTTACACACACACACACACACACATATATATGAATGAAACTTTGGACATTTGAAAGTTCATATATAGATATTCAAAGTTCATATATAGAGTTTTTTTCTTTTTTTTTGTCATGGGGTGCATGCACTCACCCAAGAGAGACAGAGAGACAAAGATAGAGAGAAAGTGAGAAATCACCGTCCGGGGAATAGCCACAGCACAATACCTTCTCCATCCCCATTGGGCTTTTGGGCATGCAAGCGTATGCTCCTGGCATGTTTTTCAAGTTGCCAGGTCTAGAACTTGAACCACAGAGTAGGATATGTGGGATCCAGTGTCTTAACCACAATGACACCTCTGGGCCCCAGAAAATATCTTTTATTTAAAAAATATTTTTTTTAACTCTGTAACTTTACTGGTTAATTTTGAAAGCTTCAAAAATTGAAGTCAATCTTTATAGGTGTATTCTTAAAATCCCTATACCATTCCTCTCTTTGATGTCACTCTGATGTAGGAAACAAGAATTATTACAGATAAGTAAGAAGTAAAATCAAGAAAATACAAACTTGTAGTCAAAAGTGAACACTAAAAAAAAAAAAAACTAAAAAAAAAAAAGGGAACACTAGAGGGGAAAAAGTGGGTGGAAGATATTAGAGAGTAAAGAGGGAAAAGACTAGTAAGGAGAAAAATAACATTTCATAGAAACCATTCTGCAAAATCTTATTTTACATGACATTGGTATAACTGCTTAGAACTAGCTTGAATGGCAGAGACCTGATGCTGACTGCTGTTTTATTGGTTTGCTTGGAGGGCCCATGCCTAGGGAAGACTGAGTGATCTAAGGTTGACCTCTATTGCAGGGTTGGAATGGCTGAGTTGGGAATGGCTGTAGCAGAGCAACCAATCAGAACAGTAACAGTTTTGATAATGAACCAATAGGACTACAGCTTAAGCTGGCCAATCAGAGCTACACAAGCTTTAATCCTTCATTTGCACACATGGACCTGGCTGAAATCTTGGTAGGAATTATTTCTCTATAACAGTACATTCTGACTGCACCTCGGGAGACAGCCTTTGGAGCAAACTTAGTTTTCTCCTAGATAATGGATAATGTCATTCTTCTTTTTTTTTTTTTTTCAGTCTGAAACCAGCCACTCTGTTTATTTATTGACCAGATTAGAGAAGTAATACCTTTTCTCATCCTCCTAATAAGTCTGTTGATCTGGTCTGCCCTGGTGCAAGCATCTCTACCTTCTACAAAATGCCTTTCTCCATAAACCTCAGGGGTCTAGGTTTCTGGCCATGAGTGACTGTTCCCTCTGAACCTACTGTCCAAACCTGTACCTACTTTTGATTTGATAATACTGGTTTGTTATAACTATTATGTTAGCTTCATATTTCTCTACCTGATGATTGGATATTCAACCAAGAATATGGTCCAAAAGAAAAATGTTAAATGTAATAAAAACCAGACAGATCTAGGTTCAATTTTCAATATCTCTCACCATTTGTGTGATATGGCAAGTTACTCCAGTTATTGCTATGATGAAAATTAAACTACAACAAATAACACATAAAGTAGTTACATGTCTCATACTTTGTACAACTGCACATTTTAAGTTACTAATAAAAAGGTTAGTTTCATTTGCCCAGATCCCATTTTCCCACTCCTCTAGTCCATTTAAAAGAATAGAACAAATTCCCTAATGACATGAAAATCTAAAAAAAATTACTCATCTTTTCTGATAATATATATAATATATGTGTCATGGATAAGCACACATATGCCCTCAGCAAACACTTCCGTGGTAGCTTGAGAAGGAAAATTGCCTTAAGCAGAAACAGTCCCATCTAAAAAGATTCAGGTAAATTTTGTCTGCAATGAGGAAATTAGTACTCTATTTAAATGCCTTATTTGCCTTCTATTACTACACAAACACTTTCTGGGATTAAACACAAGCTAAAAATGGATTTTAAAAAGTGAGCACTTGACTATGATACACACTGCTTGTTAAGATGTGATTGTCAATAATTATGCAAAACTGCAATTTATTTCAGCAGCAACTTTATCATGGGATGTGCAAACCAGGCAATAAACAACTCCTGCGGAGCCAGCGGCAGCAAAGCCCCCGGAAGAGCTGTTTATTCATCATGGGTGAGGTTTTTGCTGAGTACACAGTCTTCCACAGTGTCGTTTCAGCGCTCATACTGGATAAAAATCTTCTGTCTGCATTAACTGGTGGAGGGTAGAATAGGTTTATGAGGATGCAGCTATTGGAAAAAAGTAAGCATCGCACTAAGCTATTTATCAACTCCTAAATAAACTTTAATACTGTACAGCTGATAGGTAGTGTAGTGTTCTGGTTGGGCAAGTAAGTTAAACATCATGTAGTTTACAGGCTGTCCTGGACTGCTGGCTCCCTGGATGGCTTAGCTAATTTTCAGGCAAGCAATCAAAGCAAGGAGAAATATCAAAATGATAATTTATTTATTAATATTTTAATTTTTTTCTCCTTTTATAAGTAGTTTATTACATTGACCTCTCTCCCCCCAAACAAAGTCAACGACACTATGGAGGGAATCATTCACTGTACATACACAAAGAATGGATGGGGGCGCAGCAGGCAGCATGAGGGGTTAAAGACATTGGACTCTCACATGGCCGACTATGGCTCAAGTCTTGGACCTGGTGATCATTTATTTATCTTTTTTTATTTATTAAGATTTACAAATTCAGAACCATTGAAATGCTTTTAGAATTTTAATGTTACAGTCGAGTGTGCCGTTTAAAGACTGAGCCATGTGTGACTGTTGACAACTGATCATTTCTGACCTACAAAAGTGGCCATTACATCCAGTTTGAGCTAATATTTCTAGCTTGGCTTGGGCATTAGAAATCACTAAGACTTAGTTCATCTCTAGCTCCACATTTAGAATAAAAATAAGCTGCCACATTTCAGAAGACAAATACAGAGTTAGACATTGATATATGTTCTCACATATAACGATTTCAAACAAAATAAAAGGACAATACAAAACTCTGCCACTGCAGAGTAAAACTCAGAGAATTTGATGTGCATTTATTATCAGCATCATCTTCCTGATGAGCTGCAGTTGACACATCTTAGCTCCTCTGTCCTTAAACTAGAAATACCACTTACCCTCTGCTTCTAGAGAAAGTAACTAGTAAATAACTTTGCAGGAGTTATTTGCAAAAGGCAATGCACATAAATCTGATGAAAGGGTTCTACCGAGACAATGAGATTTTCAGCCAAATCCTACCAGTGAGTTTTCTGCTTTGTAAATTAGGCCCTTAGGGAAGAATGGTAACTCTTTCAGGACAGTAAGGCACCATTTTCCTAAATGATACCCCTGTGGCCTTAAATATTGACAGCATCAGGCTGAATATTTTCTAATTCAGAAAAATATGTTTAAAATATTCAATGGAAGCAACAGTGGAAAATCTCTTCAAATAAGCTCCTTTACAAGTCTTTTTTGATCATAGGTGAGATTTTCGTTTTCTGCTTATGTGAGGGTTTTAAGGTCACCACCTTTCTCCTAGAAGCAATGTATGTGCTTTGAATTCTTAAATCTTAATTGTTCCAAGTGTAGACTGAAAATGAGTCAAGAAAAGTTCATTTCCATATTTTCACACTCGAAATAATTCTAAACATATCACATAGTTTTTAATTTCCCTTAACCGTATAGCTTTAAGCGGCTCATTGATGTATAAAAAATAATGAGAATCATAAAGAAATAAAAGATTGGCTCAGGACAAAACAAAAGATCTTGAACATGGATTATTCATAAACTTCTTTGTCCAGGTTATCAACTACAGATACAGGAAAAAATGTGGCTGAATTTTAAATGTAAGAATAGGGTTAGCTGAAAAACTGAAAGATTGGAAGGTATAAAAGTGTGAAGAGCACCTGTGGATTACTAGAGACATTGTGGGAGGGTGATGGGCAATGGTGGGGGCAGCAGGGAGGGAATCAAGGGAAAAGAAAGAAAAACATTCAATAGATACAAAAATGAGGGCCTATCAGTTGATAATGATGTGTATGAGAATATCTTTAACTGGACTAGGATGCAGTGTATTCATGCTGTAAAAATTCATTTTGTATACTGTAAAGATGTACAGTGATTGGAGCCAGCAGATGGCATAATGGTTATGTCATTGAACAAGGCCAACTGCAGTTGGCTTGAAAATCATGCTGGGTGGGGAACCAGCAGTTAGCGTAATGGCTATGTCACTGGACTCCCACGTAGTCGACCGTGATTCGCATCCCGGAACCGGTGGCTTAGAACTCACGCCTGGCACGTGTGCGTGCGTGCCCAACATCCCGAGAGGAGAATGGAGGAGAAGGGATTGCGGCGTGACCATCCCCCCTGGGGGCTGATTTCTCGCTTTCTGTCTCC